GTGACAGGGGGTGGCGCTGCAACCTCCCCATCGACCCTGCCTTGAGTGTGACAGGGGGCAGTGCCCCAACCCCCCAGTCGGCCCTACCCTGAGCGTGACTGAGGGTGGCATCGCAACCTCCCGATCCGCCCTGCTCTGTGCATGACGGGGCGGCGCCCCAACTCCCCAATCGGCCCTGCTCTGAGCCTGACCAGGGGCTGCACTTAGGGATTGGGCCTGCCCTCTGCCACCCGGGAGCAGGCCTAAGCCAGCAGGTTGTTATCTCCCGAGGGGTCCCAGACTGCAAGAGGGCACAGGCCGGGCTGGGGGACCCCCCTCCCCCCGAGTGCACAAATTTTTGTGCACCGGGCCTCTAGTAGAAATATAAAATTGATTACTGGTTGCAAGATATGGAAGAGAGAGTTTGTAAGAGGGACTGTGTAGGAAGAAAGTAGATATGGTTATAAAAGGATGACATGGGGGATCTTTGTGGCAATGGGAATGTAGATCTTGACTATCTCAGTGTCAAAATCCTGGTTGTGATATTGCACTAGAATTTGCAAGATGTCATCATTGGAGGGAAAGGGCAAACAGAAAGTCTGTTATTTCTTACAACTGCCTGTGAATCTATCATTACATAATTATAAATAAAAAGTTTAATTTAAAAAAAAATAACTGTGTTTGAAAAGTAATTTTGTTTGTTAGCAAATTATAAAGATAAATTCAATTAAATGAGAATTATGATGTTTATTCTCTCTCTCTCTCTCTCTCTCTCTCTCTCTCTTTCTCTCTCTCTGTTTGGTTTTCTCTGAAAGGTCTGCGAGGAGCCATAGCATTTGCCTTAGCTATTCGGGACACGGGATCTCAGCCCAAACAAATGATGTTCACCACCACACTGCTGCTTGTGTTCTTCACAGTCTGGGTGTTCGGAGGAGGAACGATCCCCATGCTGACTTGGCTTCAGATCAGGTTAGGGGCACTATTTAAGGGAGGACACCTGAGGAGGCATGGCTGGGCAGTTCCAGTCTGTAGTTGCTGACTTGCTCAAAAGTACCATGGCAGGTCTGTGTGCTAATTGCCCAGGGAAAAGTGCACAGTCAGTCACAAGGTGACACAATATGATCTATCATCAACTGACCTGAATTTTCCAAGAGTCCTAGAAACCTCAGGGTGATGTCTGTTTATAGTATGTCCCTAGAAATGATTAATTTATCTATGAATTCCTCCATTCAACACTCTTGAGTACATTGTGGTTGGAGTTTACAAAAATGAGTAAGACACAGGTCTTGTCCTCAAGATGCTTACAATCCATAAGGATTTATACAGAAAAATCTCTAATACCAAGGAGAAAGTGAATTAGTTTTATTTTTAATTTCTCACAGCACTTAAGATAGAACCAGGGACACAGAACATGCTTAAATATACTTGGTTAGTGAGCCATGTGTTTAGCCAGAGGGAGTCTACAGACACAGTCAGACAATGTTTAACTTGTGTCAGGGCCTCAGTAAGGAGCCCTCCAATTAGCAATCATCCAATCAATTGGATGATTACTGCTAACCTGAAGCATGCATGTAGCAGCTGAGGTAGTTGGACAAAAATTGATAGCTTGTGCCAATTGCAAAAATGAGTAAATCTATTTTTAATGCTATCTCTATTTAAGTGTTTCTTTGATCTGGATCCTCATTATCATATTCCAGAATGTAATGGTACTTCAGGTAAATCACATTTTCTTTCTCAAAGTCATATATCTTTATGGGTCACACAATCCCTCCCTGGACCCCCCCATTCTCTGTAAGGAAAATTCACACCCATATCTGACTGCCTGTAAAAGGACTTCCAATAAGATTCTTATAGACAAGGACTTTTATTCCAGCACCAATATAGTGCCTGGCACTTCATACGATTGAATAAATAATTGCTACATGAAAAATTAAATGAATATAACCACAAATATAATATTCTTTTGTTAAGCATTTACTGATCATTTTCTACCCATTTGACAAAGAGAAAGCAGAAGCAGGAAGTTTATTTAGTATAAGTCGTTTAGTATAAGAAAGCTTATGCCTAAACTGCCTAAGCTGGGCCAAGTGGCTATGCATTAAAACAAATTCAAGGGGATAAAGGACCTCTTGATGTATTGTGAATACTGGCTAAGCTTATAAAAGGGCTTTGACAAAAGGTAAGTGGAGAGGTTATGAAATGTTTGTTGAATTATTTTCTAGCATAAAAGTGTGACCTGCAATTTCTTTCCCTGTGGCAGCTACCCGTAGGCTCCTATGATAAGCACACACATTGCACTAAACTCTACAGCACCAGGTCCCTGGAAACTGTTAGTAAGAAAGAGGTGTGTCCAGATTTCTGGAAAATAAAATTCAGCAGGTAGATTCATGCATGGGAAAATTAGGGCTTGGAAAGCAAAAATTAGAGGATACTAAGCCCACAAGATAAAAGTATCAAATGTACTATCAGGTAAATTAAAGTACTCAGAAAATGAAATGATGTCAATATTTCTTAAATTAATGCAAATGTAACTTATTTTCTAAGATTGTCTTTCATTATCCTGAAGAGATTGTCCCCAAATCAGTAATTAAAGTATTTACCCAACTCTCCTCTAGGGATTTCCAAAGGCATCCCCTGACTCTACACAGTGCCATAACTTCTGCAGTCTCTTATGTCCAGGTGGGCAGGAGAGTGAGCTGTAACAATTGGCTCTAGGCAGGTTAGGTCAATTATCTAGGTTAAAGGACAGAGCCTAATAAGGAAAGATGGTGACGTCCACCACAACCTTCACAGGTGAGGGCCTGGAGTCAACTTAGCCAGTGCTACATGGCCTCCTGGGGCACAGCATGAGATTGCCTAGTCAAGGAGATGCCCCAGTCGGAACTGGCTTCAAATGGCCTAACTGATTCAATGACAGGCTTGGCCACCAGCCAGAAAGGGAGAGAAATAAAGGCAGGGATTGATGTATTTAGGGAAAGGAGCTGGCAGGGCTCCAATCTGATAAGCAAGGTGTTAATCTCAATTGGGAACTAGAATGTTCATCTGAAATCAGGGAAGAAACTCAGTCAGAGAGAACAGGGCCCAGTCATGAGGAAATCAGAGGAAGAAAAATAAAGATTATACATACCTCAGTACCCAGGAAGTCAATGCAGGCAGACAGGGTACAGGCAACAAGGCAAAATTAAAACCAATGGCTCTCAAGGTTGACTGAGCATCAGAACCAGCTGGAGGTTTCAGTAACCCCAGACCACCAGGCCCCACCTCTAACAGTCTGGTCAGGGCCTGAGAATGTGCATTTCTTCCACATGCCAGGCAATGGTGCTGCTGCTGGTTCCAGGATCACACTTTGAGAACTTCCTAACCCCAAGTGGAGATGGGGCTAATAAGAAATGCCACCAGATCTGAATGGGGTTGCCCAGGGCCAGGCACACCAAGCTTTCAGCTTAAACTCCTAAGCACTGATATTGGAGGAAGACAGGGGCTAACTTGAGGAGTAAGAGTCACTATGCATTGATTAATGGAGGGAAATAGAGCATCTATCTATATCAAAGCCTAAGCAACTGAACGACCACTTGACCGGTCACTATGATGAGCACTGACCACCAGGGGACAGATGCTCAATGCACAGGATCGGGCTCCCTTCTGTCTGGATTGGGCCTGTGAGGATCGGACGAAACCGGCTATCCAACACCACCTGACGGGTTCCAGATTGGGAGAGGGCGCAGGCCGGGCCGAGGGACCCCACCCATGCACCAGGCCTCTAGTAATACAATAAACATAAAAGAACAGGACATAAATTAAAGTGTGTACAAATGAATATCCAAGTGTAACATAAATTTGGCTCAACCATGTTATGCTGACACCAGCATGTGCTCTGCTTCACTGTCGCAGTTCAGAGAGAACATCAAAGAAACCCTCCATGCCACTAAAAATTCTATTTATTTGTTTATTTTTAATTTATTGGGGTGACACTAGTTAATAAAACAGTTTCAAGTGTTAAACTCAATAGCACATCATCTGCACACTGCATCATGTGCTCATACCCAGAGTCAAGTCTGTTTCTGCCACAACTTGTCCCGTTTTGCCCTCTTCTGCCTCCCCAATCCCTCTCCCTCTGGCAATCACCATACTGTTATATATATATATAATATATATACATATTCTTAATCCCTTCATCTTTTTTTACCCAATCCAACACCCTCCCATATGACAGTTGTCAGTCTGTTCTATGTATCTATGATTCTGTTTCTATTTCATTTGCTAAATTATTTTGTTTATCAGATTCCACCTATAAGTGAGATGAAAGTTAACTGTCTTTTAGATTATATTTAGCAAAATCTTCCTTGTTTACATAAAAATATTTCATTAACCAACGTTCATATCAAACTGTTTGCATAAAATAGCAGAATGTTAGTAATTGAGGCTTTAATACAATAACAATGTGGAAATCCAGGGGCAGGAATGTGAATGGAATATTGAATGAGCCCAAGTATCCTCGCTCACTGTGTGATTTATATACTTTGCATTGCCTTTCCTTTTTGATTGTTTTAATTTTACTTTTTTTTCTCTTAAATTATTAGACGTAAATTTGAGTTGTTTACCAAAAACTTGAGTTGACTTTTTTATTCCTATAAAATTTGCCATTTAGTCACAAACTACTGTAGTAGGATGCAGATATAGTGTTTTATATAAGGAAAAAGTTATACTACTAATATGAATTGAACTTTGATGGAAATGATTGTAAAACAATAATGATCCTGTGCTCAGAGAAATTTGGAACGATCTTTACATATGAAATAACTTCTCCATTGAATTAAGTCTTATCTTAGGCACGTTCAAACTTCTTGTCCTAAAGCTGTTTTATTTTAGTTTTAGAATAATATAATATTTTAATGCAGCAACTCAAATAAATCACAGATCTTTGCCTTTCAAAATTCTAGAGAAAATGAGAAGACTCCTGCAGTATTATCATGGAGGTATTCATATAAAATTAAAAAAAAATGTTTCTTGATCAGGACCCAGCTGTCCTTCCTTCTGTGGAATACATTAGTGCTGGTGGTGAAACAAACCAACTTCCAGTCTCCAAGGAGGAGGTCTGCTCTTAGCCAGGAAACAAAACTTCACCTATAGAGGCCAGTAAACAGGATTATCGCCACATGATTGCACATGCTTACAGATAATCTCCAAGACCAACAGGGCAGCTCTCTCTAGCAATGTAATGAATGTGGGTGATAACCCAATCCTTTCTTTAGGGTAGAGCACCACATGGAGCTAACAAAATGCACAAGAATGAAGCCTGTACTACAGTACAAATCTCTCCAGGGCTCCCCATATAGGAATGCTGGACCCATATCTTCAAAATACTGAACCACAGTATAGAAAGCCTTGCACACCAGCTGCAGAACCTGTATTTTAAATGGCATTAGAACGTGCTTTCAGGAAGATGGCTTCTACAGCTTCCATATTTGAGCTCCTAACATCTGAAACAGTAACAACCAGCTTTCACTGAATACTTATTCTGTGCCAAATATCCTATTTAATAATAGACAACATGGTAATTAACCGTACCTCCAACACGCTTCCCATTGGCTAATCAGGGCGATATGCAAATTAACTGCCAACCAAGATGGCGGCCGGCAGCCAGGCAGCTGAAGCGAACAGGAGGCTTG